CACATCTGATCTTACTGCATACTAACTTCCTCATAGAGTCATTTAGGATTCATTGGGTGCATCCACACATGCAGGCACATGCACTTGTAGCAGCTCAAATAGAAGCAGCACAAGTTTGAACTGGGGCTTTTTGCCTCAGTATACGTGCCCAGAAACACACTTTGGTGTGGGGCAAATTGTGCCACTTGGAACAAACTAACCCTGCTTGGCTCCTGGATCTACATCCAGGAGGAGCTAGAAGCTGGGGCCAGCACCTGTGTTGGCCCCAGCAGTATAAAAAGCTGCCCTGGTGAGCAGCTCAGGGCTCCTCGCTCTCAGGAGCTTCTGGGGCCCAGCCAATTGGTACCTGAGGACACTACCCCTTGTGCCAGCTGAACTGCTGAAACAGCCATGAGAGTTCCCTGCACCCTCTACCCAGTGCAGCAGTCTGGCAGTGGGGACTGCTGCCTGGCTGTGACCTGCTGCCACCTTTGACAGCAAGTAGCTCCAAGGCTGTGGCCCTGCCAGACCTGGATGAGGACTGCATGGCCAATAGAGGCATCTGCACCTCTGGGCCAGCTGCCAGCAGACTGTGGTTGCACAGTTGGCCTTTGTGCAGCACTACTGCCATGTGTGCCACCACCTGGTCATCTGGGCAGCTATTTCCTGGAAGATATTCTCAGTGTAATGGCCTGCTTTGAACTGTCAAAGCATGTCCTCCTGACCCCAAGTGCCCCCAGCAGTGGGGGCAGCAAGTGGCCAGGAGGTCAACCACCTCCAGCTGGGTCCTAGGTGCCAGTTCTGAGCAGGCTTCTCTGCCTGAGTCCTGCCACTTGCCTCGCTAGCAGGAATTCTGGTCTTCCCTATTTAAATCCTGCAAAATCCCTGATAAAAAAAAATCCCAAAGTCACTCTAAAATATCCCAAAATCCATGTTCTCCCACAATTAAAACAAAAGACCACTATATATATATATAGAGAGAGAATATATATATATATACATACACACACACAGAGAGACAGAGATCAAATGAGTTGGGCAATGTTTTATTGATATATTTACAATTTTAAAGCAATTTGGAAGCCTGCCAGTGCCTCTATCATCATAATAAAATAAATGCTAAATATCTATACAGTTTGGCATTGACTTTTGGCTTTTTTGTCATAGACAAATCAGAGCTGCCCCTACCCCCTTCACTCACCAAGATGTGCAGCACTGAACAGTGTTGATATGCCAGTGCCCTGCCCTTGCCCCTGACTCTCAACCTACAGCCTACCCCCACTCCATTCCCCTCACTCCTGCCCCACAGGGCCAGGTATGTGGGTGAGGGGTTTGTGGGGGTGGTGTGGGGTTAGGGGGTAGATTGTGGGGGG